TATATATATCCCAAAATGATGTCCTAATGTGACTTTTAGCCAAAGAGAGGTATTAAAACAGACAATTATAGTTCAAAGTAGGTGACAAATTGTACGGCTTAGGGGGCCTTATAGAAGAGAGTCCTACTGTATGTTTTGGGGTTCATATAGGGCTGATAAGATGACCCTAGGATTACTGGATTTAGAAAAACAGTGTACCCAGAGATATCTACAATGAATGGGATAGTGTTAGGCGAAGTGGGGATAGAACAAGTGGTTTTTATTTGCAAAGTTCTAGAGCTGCAAAGTATACTGGGACATATTAAAGGACCTGGAAAGACTTGCATAAATGCTTTGTGGTGTGTGAGGGAAGAGAGGAGCAGGATGTGAGGTTGTTGTTGTTGTTGTGAGATGCCATCCAGTCACTTACGACTCACAGAGATCCTATATAAAATAGGATGAAAACCTTCTAGTCTTGCACCGTCTCTGATGACCACAAGCGAGGATGCTATTGCTGCTGTGAGGTGCCACCGACTCAGCTGCTTCTGGTTCCTACCAATTCTGTGCACAACAGAAGCAAACACAGCCTGATCCTGTGCCATCCTCACAATTGTTATGATTCAGACCACTGCTGCTGCCGCTGCGCCAGTCCATCTCACTGGGGGGCTTCCTCTTTTTTTTTTTATTGCCAGCTCTCCATTTTATCAAGCATAATGTCCTTATCCAGGGACTGGCTTCTCTTGAGAATGTCCAAAGTATGAGAGATGAAGTCTTGACATCCTTGCTTCTCAGGGGCATTCTGGGTGTACTTCTTGCAGCATAGATTTGTTTGTTCTCAAATGCATCAATTCTTCTCTGCCTTTCCTTATTCATTGTCCAACTTTCACCTGCATATGAGACTACTGGAAATACCATTGCTTGGATCAGGCGCACCTTAGTCCTCAAACTGACAGCTTCGCTCTTGAACACTGTAAATCATGCTAAGGAATAAGGAAAATTTACCAGATGCAGTGGAAATCCACAGAATGGATTTTAATGGTGGTGTGGTACTGTAGCATCAGCACTGGACTGAGAACCAAAAGGTCGGTGGTTCAAAACCACCAGCTGCTCTTTGGAAACCGTGTGACTGACTGAACAGCACTTAACAACAACAACACCTGATTAAGCATTTTAAAGGTCAGTAGTGCTCAGTATGGAGTCCTGGTGTGGTACTGTGGGTTAACGCATGGAACTGCAAAGTCAGTTTGAACCACAAAGTCGTCGGTTCAAGCTCACCAGCTGCTCCTTGGAAACCCTATACAGGGTCACCATGAGTCGGAACCTCCTCAATGGCACTGAACAACAAGTACCTCAGTCTGGTGAATTAATGAGTGTCTAGATGGCACAGTTGAGCTTGAGAACTTCTGGTTTAGATGTTAAAGAAGAGAGAAGCTCAAGTATGGTCACATTTCTGAGACTTCAGACCAGAAGAATTTGATAAGAGTGACCGCTGTACATTGAGACACGGAGTTCTGGAAATGTGAGGGAGTTTAATTAAGGTAGAAATAACAACAAAAAAGTGAATACTAATGAATTACATTTTTATACTGACACCTCACATGCATGTGAAAGTTAGGCAATGAATAAGGAAGACCGTAGAAGAATTGATGC